GCTGTGGCTCAAGTGGTAGAGCGCTAGCTTTGAGCTGAAGAGCTGAGGGACAGCGCCCAGGCCCAGAGTTCAGGCCCCATGACCGGACCCAAAAACAAAACAAAACAAAAACAAAAACAAGGGCTGGGAAGGTGGCTCAGTGGTGGAGCGCTTGCCTTGCATGCATGAGGCCCTGGGTTCAATTCCTCAGCACCACACAAGCAAAAAGAAAAAAAAGCCGGAAGTGGTGCTGTGGCTCATGTGGTAGAGCACTAGCCTTGAGCTGAAGGGCTGAGGGACAGTGCTCAGGCCCAGAGTTCAGGCCCCACAACTGGACCAAAAAAACAAACCAACAAAACACAATATCACCAAATTTTTAAATAATAATATAATTTGATTTCCTTCACTGATTCTACAGCAGAATTTTGCTTTTTAAAAAATTAAATTACAAATTACTCCTTTTCCCGCCTATCATGAATAGAATAAGTCCAGTATATTGTCACATACTGCATTTGGATATTAGCTGACTTTTGTGGCTATTTGTTATTTTGGGGACACTCAGCATCTACTCCCTTTACTTTTGGTAAGAGAATTCAAATTTCTTCAGGGGATCTCCCTGCCCCCCTCTCCCCCCTTTCACATCGTCCGTGTGTTTTAGGTAGAATTCATTTCCCTCCAAGCTTCCCCAGTAGGCAGTGTGATTCACTCATAACCCATCAGAGCATCATACATCCTGGGTCACAGTGAGTGGTTTAGAACTGAGCACATGATTCATTCAAAGAAAATGAGATATTTTTCCTGGGATATTTTTTAAGAGGTAAGCACTGGCAGATATTTCGTCATCTGTGCTATGTTCATGATCAGAATTCTTTATTCCCTCCCTATGACAAGAAGTATGTGCTTTGCCCTTTGTACTGTACATTTTATATCGCAGGGGCTCATACATCCCTGCCTGCCCATGTGGACTTGTGTTCATGTGGCTTGCTTTGGGCAGTGGAATGCGGCCATATGGGACACTGTGCCAGTTCAGAGCCCAGGGCTTAGGAGACATCACCTGTTGCTCTCACTGCATTTGCACTTCTGCTGTTTTCCACGAGAAGAGCTTGCCTTGAACAGCTGCAAATCTCAAGAGGATAGTATTTAAAACCTTACATCATACTTGACCTGCTGTTAGAGAGTTCTGTCCTAAGAACTTTTTAAACATAAGCCAATATGTTATTTTATTAGAGGATTTTTCTTTTCTTTTTTTAATAAGATTTTTATTGTGAAAATACTGGACAGAGGCGTTACAATTACATGAGCAAGGTAATGAGTACATTTCCTATCAAGCATTGTTGCCTCCTTTGTTTTTCCCCTACCAGCCCTTCCCTCCCACCTCCACAACTACACTTCCCGCCCCCACCCTTTAGAGGATTTTTCTATCTCATATAACTAAATGTGATGACACTTTATACATGGATGAAAAGCCAATTAGAAATAACATAGTTTCCAGGAGAGCCTGATGATATTTGTGACCAAGTTTCATAGATGGAGTGCAGCAGAGAGGAGTACATCTCTATGTTGTTGTTCTTGGAATTTTGTTAAGAGTTTTCTCTCTCTCTCTCCAGATATAGGCCATTTTTATTTCTTCAGGCTCCTGCAATACCACAGGGTTGGCAGCAGAAAGCATTCATTCATTTGTACTTTGGATGCCAGAAGTCTAAAATTGAAGTGTCCATAGAGTCGACCTCTCTAAAGGCTCTAAGAAAAAAATTTCCCCTTGATCTTCCAGATTCTGGCTACTCCCATCATTCCTTGGTTTATACAAGGAATTCCTTGGTTCATACATGTGGTACAATGCATATCTCTGTCTTCATATGGACTTGTGTGTGTATATGTGTGAGTGTGTGTGTAAGTTCATGCATGTGTGTCCACACACACACACATGTTGTATTTGTTCCTTTCTATTCTGTCTGTGTGTCTCTCTTACTCTCTTTGGGAGGTACTGGGGATTGATGTTCATGGCTTTGTACTTGCCAGGTAGGCGCTCTTATCTCTCAAGTCATGCCTCCAGACCTTTGTACTCTGGTTATTTTTGAGATAGGGTCATACTTTTATGTTCATGCTGGCCAGGAATTAGATCCTCCTATTTTGCACTTCCTGCCACAGCTGGGGTGACAGGCACATGTTACTGTGCCTGTTGAGATGGAATCTTTTTTCCTCGGCTTACCTCAGACTGTGATCCTCCTGATCTCAGCCTTCTGAGTAGCTAAGATCATAGAGATGAGCCATCAGCACTGCTCAATCTTAATTCATTACTTCTGTAAAGGCTCTTGCAATT